CTCCTCCTCGTAAGTTTTTTTTTCTAGTGCTGAGTTGGTGGTGTTGAGTTGACAGTGTTGTGCTGTCCGTTGTCGGAAATTTCATTTTGGTGGAAATGTCTGCGCGACGGAGACGCTCACACACTTGGCCAGAATCGTTTTCCTTGCGACTCAAAAGGGATTTAGACAGGCAAGATCTGGCAAACCTGGTCGGATTGGGCTGTCGGATGATTAATCTATCAACGTCCACCTTGGTTACGCCAACCCGACTGGCGCTGCCCTCTTCCACCGGTTTGATTGTTGAGATCGTGTAGTTCTTTGCCTATCCCGCTGTTGGGATCCTCGGAGGTTGATCACGTTCAGTCTGCTCCATCCTCCTCGTAGGTTTTTTTTTCTAGTGCTGAGTTGCTGGTGTTGTGCTGTCCCTTCTCGAAAATTTGATTTTGGTGGACAACTCTGCGCGACGGAGAAGCCCACATACTTCGCGTCTCATATCAGACTAATTGTCCCTAATTAAATCTCACCCTAATTAAATCTCTCCACTTATCAGTAAAGGAGAACATAATATATTAACTCCATATATCAGACGAGTCATCCGCTATCATCTTAGCATCCTCTCTCCCTATTCCCTTTTTCAACCACCACCACCCCACCCGTGGTGGTGGTGACAGATAAGGCTGTCAATCAAAGATAGTTTGACGAGGCCATTCGCGTGAATTTGATTTTTGGTGGGAAACTCTGCCCACACACTTGGCCAGAATCGTCTCCCTCGCAGATCAAAAGGGATTTAGACAGGCGAGATCTGGTAAACCTGGTCGGATTGGGCTGTCGGATGCTTAGTCTATCAACGTCCGCCTTGTTACGCCAGCCCCATCGGCACTACCCTCTTCCACCGGTTTCACTGTTGAGATCGTATAGATCTTTGCCTATTCCTCCGATGGGGGGGGGGAGTCTTCGGGGGTTGGTTGCATCCAGTCTGTTCCTTCCACATCGACCATAGTGTCTTGGTGGCCATACAGGAGTTGGAACTCCAGACGTCAAAGCTCGCTGGGAAAAGTAAGCCTCCTATCATGACAAGGTGCGACCAATATGTGTATGTATATATTTAATAGTATTCATAAGATTGATTTTATTAAAACGTTCTTATTGTGAAGCCGCCAGTTCTCTGCTTACGAAGAGAGACTGCATTCAAATCGGAACAACATTCACTTGCTAGTTTTAAATAACTGTTTGCTTTAATATGACACAGATTACATAGAAACTGAACAATGTACAGAAGTGAAACGATTTAAATCAACCAACTAAATTGCATTTTAAACACATCGGAGCCACTTTTTTGCATAAAAGCATAAACAATTCTTAAACACTTGTTTGATGTGATATAGAAAATAGCATAGCTTTTTAGGCGTGTTGTCTATATATATATATATATATATATATATATATATATATATATATATTGTCATCCACAGGCAGACTGTTTCGCTCTAACACAGCTCATCAGCGTGGCTAGATATCCGATTGCCTCAAACCAGGGACGAAACCCGATTGATTTGGCATCAGTCGGAGATTTTTTCACTAACCACCCGGCTGAGAAGAAGGCGAATTTTTACGTATTTATTTTTTGAATAAACGCGCCATTGACTTAGAGTGCTCGATTCATAGAAGAGCCTTGCATTATCAGCAGTAGTAGTCACTGTTTAAAACTTTCCGAATTTTATTTTTTCGGCGTCGTGTATACATACATACATACATACATACATACATACATATATATATATATATATATATATATATATATATATATATATATATAAGGATGCTCGGTGGAGTAATGGATTGAGGAAACGGAGAGCCGAGTTCGAATTCCAGTCGAACCCATTACATTCATTTACATGCTAATACCCTTGGGAAAGGTATGAATCCTTTTCTTTTCCCCCAGCTATGGGTACATAGCAGGACAGACTGGGTTCTATAGCCTTGGGTTGCAACCGGTCTAAGAGAAAAACACTGTACTTTTTATCTATTCGGATCACTATACGTGCTACTTGTCGAGCTAGTATTATCGAGCAGGTACTATTAGCGCAAGTACTATTCGAAGGCGTCTGACACCAGTATTGTTCAACGGCATTACTGCAGTTGTAACTGCGATTACAAAGTCTCTACTACCATGAGCATTACGAAAGTGACAATGAGTATTTGTTGGCATTACAAAAGTGCTAATGAGTGTTCGGTGACATCCCAAAAATATGTCCAGATGATAAAATGTTATCCAACTTTGCAGGCAACGTTGAACCCACAATAGATTTTACTTTTAAATCTGAAAATAACAACACTTTATCCTTCATGACAACACTTTATCCTTCCTAGATGTCAGGCTACATAAAACTAATAATGCATTCCATTGAAAGTATACAGAGAAAAATCTACTACCAAGATTTGCTCTGATAAACTACTATTCTTACCATTGCAATAGAACAAAACCTGGAATAATTCTAGGATTTTGTTTTAGAACACTAAAAATTTGCAGAGGAAAGTAATGTCCAATTTATAAAGATTACTTTTGCTTCAGGGATCATTTTTCTTATCTAATATTTTAAATGATATATCTATATCATCTTCGCTATAAG